GGAAAACCTGGACACCTTGACGACCGGACCGGCTGACCACGTGGATTTCCTGAATTACGACCTCAGACTGCATTTTGACTTTTCTCTTTGCAAATTCTGCAGGCAAGCTGAGATTCAAGCAGACTCATTAAGTTGATGTTTTGTTTGGTTTGTTATCTCTATGGCCCTGAGGACATTCCTATAAGAATCAGGCTGTATTGAAACTGCCTTCAGCCACAGTCGGCTGGAAGGTGAGTATGTGTATTTAGGTTGGAGGCTTGCCAGCAAATGTGGGAGCATTTGGAGGAAATTTGCAACCATTAAAGAACTGTTTACAGTGCCAGCTGTCTGCATGGCCTTTGTGCTGTGCCCTGGGTCATCACAGCAGTCGTAATTTCCACAAGCAGAAATGTCCTCATTCCCAACGTTTTCTGCTGATGGAAGTTTCCCCACTTCATCTGCAAGTATTGCATTCCAGTTCATATCAGTTGTCTCAACAAGTGCCTTGAGCAGAGGTCTTCAAACCTCGCAAAACTTGTGGACTTCAAGTCCCAGAATTCCTCAGCCAGCCAAGACTTTAAAAAACTACTTACAACCGTTCCTTGAAGTTACAACTGCTGCCCCCCACCCCCACCCCTCGATTGCATTTCAGGTACTTGGCAACTCGTCTGCATTTATGACCAGTTGCAACGTCCCAGTCGATGATTGTGATTTGTGACACTTTTTGTAGTTTCTAGCAAAAAAACACCCCCAAACACACCCATTTGGATTTGCTTAACCATCTCATGATTTGCTTAATAACACGATTCGCTTTATGACTATAGTGACTCACTTTGTGACTATCAGAAAACAGTCGTAAAATCAAGTCCCATCATATGGTACCTTAATTTACAACTGTGACAAGATTGAAATTCCAGTTTCCATTGCAGTCATAAGTGGAGGACTACCTGTAAAAAATTCCAAGGTGCAACTCTAGTACTGTCTGTTAACAGTATCAACAGAAAAGCCCAAGGCCGAAGGTCAGAGTAGACAATTCTAGGTTAGATGGATAAATACCGTGTTTCCCCGAAATTAAGACCTGGTCCTATATATTTTTTTGCCTCCAAAAGAGGCACTAGGTCTTAATTTTGGAGAATGTCTTACCTTAGGACCACTGCAGCCAGG